TCTCCTGTCTACTCACAGGTATAAAATTAAAAATTCTATTTTATCGACATTTTTCATAGATTTTAACGATCTATCGTTATCATTACAGAATCAACAAGACTCAACGTGCCTTTGTTCTCGAGGAGTTATGATTTTGGGGTCCCAGACACCCCCAAGCACAGTTAGATCTGCATGTACAAAACACAATCAGTATGACAATCGTGCCTGTTTTACCAGTTCCTCTTTTATCCCACCTCGCACAGCGTATTGAAGAGATACAATTTTTACTCCCTCTGACCCTATTTTTTATAAATTAATTAAAACTAATACAAGACAAACTTGTATGCACTTCATGTGTCTTGATAAATAAATCATTTTAAAAAAGCAACTGAATTATTATTTAATTTACCCAATTTTCTTTCTGAGTTATTTATTTAATTTGCACAATTTTCGTTCTGTGTAATGTACGTAATTTCTTTCCTCAATTATTTATTTAATTGACTTAAATTCTTCTCTTATTTTATTTATTCAATGTACCTTGCTTTCCTTCTCAGTTATTTATATAAAGAATTGTTTGATCTTTAATAAATTATTAACATAGTACACATGAAAATCAATCTTAAAATGACCTAGAACGAGGTGTGACTTCCACAGTCTTATACCAACAGCCGAGGGATGCGGATCAACTCGTCAAACATATACATATCTCTAATTTCCTTTCAGAGTTTATTTAATTTATTTTATTTATTTCCTTTTCTTATTAAATAAGCTTATCAAGAGGGAATAACATTTATGATTATACCCCGCTTCTGGGCATTAGCCGACCATCCCTTTTATTTCACTTTTTCCAGTTATTTATTATTTTATCTCCCTTTATAGGCCCACACTTTTCAGTTATTAATTATTTTATCCTTCTTTATGAGAAGGTTCTTTAAATTCTTTTCATAAGTCTCGCGGGGACTACCCCTGAACCACTGTATCCCCGTATCCCTTATAGCACTTAATTCCTCCCATTACACGCTCCCTCACATCTCCGTATCTCCTACATCCCTGCATCCATTATGTTCCTGCATCTCTTATATCCTTGTATTCCTTATTTCACCACATCCCTTACATTTATGCATTCCTTACATCCCTGCATTTCCTATATTCCTGCATCTCGTATATGCCGGCATCCCTTACACTCCTGAATTCTCCCTGCATCACTTGTACCCTTTCAAACCTTATAATAAATATATTATAAATAATCTACATATGGCGACTGGTTCGAGTAAAGGTAAGTAAAGGTAAATAACGGTAAGTAAAGGTAAGTACAGGTAAGTACAGGTAAGTAAAGTCTCGTGAAAAATAATTTTAAATTTAAATTTTTGCAAAATTTAATTCCTTTTTTGGCCGCCAGAGTGCGCTGATTCGACGTCGAAATTTTAGTTCAAATTTTTCCCGCTAGAGGGCCAAAATTTCGGCAAGCTTTAGTTCCTTTTTTCAAAACCAGATGGCGCTGATTCGACATCGAAAATTTAGTTCACATTTCTGCCGCCAGAGGGCCAAAATTACTGCATGCTTTAGTTCCTTTTTTCAAAACCAGATGGCGCTGATTCGACATCGAAAATTTAGTTCACATTTTTGCCGCCAGAGGGCCAAAATTACTGCATGCTTTAGTTCCTTTTTTCAAAACCAGATGGCGCTGATTCGACGTCGAAAATTTAGTTCCCATTTTTGCCGCCAGAGGGCCAAAAATTTTGCAAGGTTTAGTTCCTTTTCTCGCCACCAGAGGGCGCAAATTTCGCACGTCGAAACAGCGCCCCCTGGCGGTAAAAGGAGGAACTAAATTTGTAGAATATCGCAGGCCTTATAGCCGCAAAAGTTCCAACTGAGGGAGGTACTGGGATGTATGGAATGCAGGAATATAAGTGATCCAAGGATGTAAGGGATGCAGGGATGTAAGGGCTGCAGAAATGAAAAGGATGGAGTAATATAAAGAAAGCAGGGATTTGGTAAATGAGGAGATGTAAGGGATGCAGAGATATGAAGAAAGCAGGAATGTAAGGAATGCAGAGGTGTAAAGGATACCAGGGATGTAAGAGATGGAGAGATGTGAGGGCTGCAGGTATGTAAGGAATGGAGGGATGAAACGAATGCGAGAAGTAAAAGGGATGGTGGATAAAATAGGAAGCATTTGGAAAGGCTGGTCCCATCGAGGCTTACAAAGAGGGTGTAAAATAATAAATAAAAGAATAGTGAGACGAGGTACAGAGCAGAAATAAAATTATCACTTTAATTTCTAATGTGTTTATTCAATAAGCTAAGGAAATAAATACAGCAAAGTAAATAAACGCGGAAAATCAAATGAAGGTATATGTATGTTTAACCGGTAGATCAGCACCCTTCGGCAATCGCTATAAGACTGAGGGGGTTTCACTTTGCTCTACGATTGACGATCCGCGTGCAAAGGCGCCTGGAGCCCCCACTCCTAACGCCAGCAGCCCTGCTGGGAAAGCCATCATATTTAGTGTTAAGGGAAGGGTTGGATCAACCTCCCCTTGCTGCTCCTCTTTTTGATGTCGATTTTTAATGTGCTATTACCATCAACATGCGTTAAACTGTTGCAGTGCGAGATGTTTCACATTTTTATACTAGGATAGAGCAGATGACGTTCATTCTGAAGGGACAAATTCAAAACCCCTTGGAAACAAAGGCAAAGAATAGTTATACCTACTCTTTGACAATGGCATGCCTAGTCTCTTTGGATCTGTAGACACCGATGCAGATATCGTTGTTTCGAAAGTCCCCGTGCGAATGCGTTTTCCTCGGGATCTCGTTATTGTTCCCAACAAGCTCCCTTCACCGTTTTCAATTAACGATATGATCTATATAAACGGTCGCACGCTCGCCGCGCGAACGCGATTTTGTTTGAAATTGCAACGAGGGACTGAGAGCGTTCAGTTTTTATTTGTTAAGTGATTTTCTTGACGAGAACGGAATTTATGATTAACTCTTTGACGGCTGCTGTCATGTAACCGCGATTATGATGCTTGATTTTTCACGCCATTATTCAATCCTTTATCTTTATCTATACTGTCAGACAGTAATCACTAGACAGCGGATATTTATGCAAATAGTTTCACAATATATTATCTTCTAAATAGGTGTTGAAAAGTATTTTATTATGTAAATTTTTAACTGAACATTATCGTGACTTTACATGAGTAATTAATTGTAAATTGTATCAGAAAAATGTCTAAATTACACGCTATATAATAAAATATATCTCCGTCTTTTCACTTACCTCGATACTCCATCCTCGTACGCGTAGTAACTCCGTAATTGTCCACACTTGGTAAAGAGCTATTCATTTACTATTACGCGTCTTTTACCTCTTCGCGAAGCGTACCGCTCTTCAATTTCTTCTATCGACAAATACCATCAATCGGAAGACACGTGGCCGCGATGCGAATGCCTTGATCGCAAGTACGAGTTTCTTATCGTGCCTGCCATAAAGCAACCGGATCCAATGATGTTTTTGTCAAGCTCGCCCAGAAGGTTGGCAGCGTTTACTTAATTCTAAAGGAACTTCGTAAAGAACCAGCACGTAGCGATCGAGCATTCGTTATCCTCGGCTGATTTTTATTCGCGATACGACAAACGTTTTGCAAAAGAACGATGACAATGAAATGATGGGAATCAATTATACCGTAGGACAGTTCGTTCGACACGCTTTTATTTAGCGATGATCATTCTGGACGTCGGGGCATCAACGTGAAATGGACGTCATGTCGTCGTTGATATCCCTGCGATTCCACCGGTTCCGGAGAATTCCGTAGTGGAGGGGAATCGAGGACGGTATTCAGCTTAAGTTATGACCTCGGTGTATAGCGGACTACAAATTCTCGGTCGGGTATACGGTAGGATTTGTACTTACCTAGTACGGAGAGTACTGGCTACAAGTTAGAGGAATACCAGTGTGCAGAAATCTTGTTGCCAGACGGGACAAATACGTGGACCGGGCAGAGATATTGGCGTCTCGGGGTGCTACACTCTGGAAAATAGCCTAATGATCGTATTGTGACTGGCCTGACTTGTCACAAAACATCTGCGAGACTTGCACGGTCGCGGCTTTATTTATCGTCTCGGGGTCGTCTAACTACCGTGTAACGGGTTAAACGTTAACGAGGATGCAGATGCATTTATATGGGAACAGGATCGGTAACGTTCTTACTAAAGGTTATGCCTCCGATCGGTTATTATCCTCATCAACGTCGATCAATTTTTATTAAGGATAAGTTTGAAATATGGAATTGTACTTTGGATAATCAAAGAGAATCCTTAGATTGTTTTTACGATTTTAATGTCGTAACCCTGCCAAATACAATAATAATAGTAATAGTAGCAATTATAATAAGAATCGTAATAATGATAATGATAATAGGATTATCTAAAATATGTAACCATCATTTCGATAATAAGATTATCGAGAGGCGCGATATTGTACCGTACAGGACGAACGTGACACGTCGCGTGTTTCATTCGCGACTCGACAATAATTAATTAATTAAACGTACACGATTCGGGTCGCGGATCGCCCTTACGATACAACAATTTTACTTCCACAGTTAGGAATCGCGAAGTACACAATATTAAATATTCGCTCAACCGTACCGTCGCGAAACGTGATTGAATTTTTAGGACTTTCTCGCGGCGAAACGCGACTCTTTGAGACGCGTCCTCGCCCCGATAACGTTGTATAAATATATATATTTATATATATATATATAGAATTTCGTGCACGTTAATATATTTCGCTATTATTCGGCAATTAGTTTCCTCATCTTTCACGGTATACAATAATTACACGCTCTTCGTTTCGGTTCACATCGCAATAAATAAATTATCCAAATCAAGGACATCGATATATCGACATAACAGTAATAAGATTACAACCACATTTACAATATATATTCTATATTTTATCTATATATGTATAGATAGATTTTTTATTTATATATATAATATATATATTTACCTTTTTTTTTTTTATCTTTTAATGCACTAACAAAACCTCCCCTGGCGACGTGCGCGATACGAAATAGCGGCCGTCCTCAAGCGACGCGATTAATGTAATAATTAGAAAGTACAAAGTTGTAATAATGCCTTCGTTTATACAGTGAGTCGTAGTATTAATATATTATTATATTACGCGATTCTACGCGACATGTACAATTCTATTCCTTATTAAATAATAGTTGGCGGCGCGCGACATCAAAACAACGTCCCTTTCTCAGCCTATTGACACGACAGTCGAATTTTTCAGCGCACGTTCTCGTCCAATGAAAACACGCCGAGTCGACGCGAGCCACGTACACGAATTTTGGCTAGAATAACCCTTTCGTGTTCCCATTCGACGCGACGTGTCGCACCTGCTCTGTAGGAACCTGAAAGCGATGTTCGATGCATCTCGTTTCACTCGCGACAAAGAAATTGGATCTGGTGAAAATCTGTCGGAGAAAGGGCACGTCACGCGCCTCGCATTGTATAAATCCGTGCGAGATCCGAGAGAGAATTACTGGCCCCCATTGATTACATTATTGCGAGATAATTATGCTACGCTGATCCGTTGCTTCTTCATCAGTGATGATTAACGGATAATTTTACATACTATGTACAGTAATTTTATTGCTCCACTAGTATCTACCTTACGACCTAGTAGGTTCCGTTTCTTTTTTTCTTTTTATATTTTTTATTTCAGTGTATTCACGAGAAATTTTCCGTGTTAGAGTCGATAATCACCGGTTCGTTCGGCTCGCCTGGTTTCGCGTTCAAGGAGATCCTTGGACCACGTAAAACACCTTCCATCGTAAACAATCTCGCTTATTAAGTAACTAAGAAAATTAACGAACCAGTGGAAATTTTCTATTCGATATTGCATTTCGTTTATTGCATGGTCCACTGTCTCCTAGAAGCAAACACCTTGCACACATTCCGCAACGACAACTGTTGCCTTCCTGCGTTAATGGATCTTTAAGAATCGACCTCGTATATTGTCCACGTTGATGTACAATCAGCCGCAACTTAGGTTTCTCTTGATTAACGCTCTCTTTAGGTTCTCCCAAGATTTTCTCCTCGACCAAGAGAAACCTACGTTGCAGCCGAGTGTACACGTACGCACGTCGAATTGAACGTGCGAAAGCACCAAGGAAGATTGAGCACCGCGCGTGATCGCATATTAAAATTGTAATTTAGTTGTGGTTTGCTTGATCAGGTATACGTGTGAGTTACTGATGCGTGCATGTGTGTGTGTATGTATCTGTGTATTGTGTATCTTTACTGGCCCTCGAAGCGAAGAATCATCGCTACTTTGACGGACTGACGCATCAGCTTCGTCTTCGAATTACGAATAAATGAAATTCTTTCGTGCGAAGGAAATCAAGGATTCGATCACCAATTCAAATGCAACATCAAAAATTGAAAATAATGAAGATATAACGTGATTTTTAAAAAAGAATCATGCAAATTTCCCACCGACCTGTTCGCGTTTTCTTCCCATCTCGAACTGTCATTTTATCCAAAGTGTGTCAACCAAGTGTCCGACGGTCGGACGAAAGCGTCCGTTCTGTCGTAGAAGGTGATTTCGATCCGAATGCGGAACCTCGATTAGTTGCTTGTCAGTTGACGTCCGTTAAGGCACTTGAAATGCTAATTTTCCTAGGTGGGGCCTTCATAGAAAATCGGTCGCGTTCGGCTCGAGCCCCTTTATACGCGTGCTTTCCTGTTTCCTCGACGGTTAGCCTTCTATGGAAAATTGAATGGGTTCGCATTAACATGAGATACAAATTGTCCACGCGCCTTTGTCCAACTTTTCGCGAGAGCATTTCCAACTACAAAACGTCTATGCTCGTGGAATGTTCGTGTTAAGTCAGCCTTGAGAAACGTCGATGTTGAGTACACCTAAGTAAATCCTCGATTTTCCATAATTATTCAGATAATTTCACGTACGATGATTGCACGTGATCGACGATACCCTCGGAAGAAAATAGAAAGAAATGAAACTAAAGTTACTCGGGTTCGAAGGAAATGAAATTCCAAGGAAGGATGATGATTCGCGTGGAAGTTTCGTTTTATCGCCGCGTCGACAATTAACCGAAATGAATCGTCTCGAGGTGGAGGTAACGCCGTTGAGATGCATCGTCGAGAGGTGCACGACTCGGCACGAGCTCGGCACGGTGTAGAGAAAGAAAGAAAAAAAAAAAAATGATAATGATCAAAGAGGGTGTCGGCATGACGTCAGTATACATTTCTCATCGCCCGCGCTGCGCTCAGATTACTGACGGCTGCTCCGGCTGAAGAAATTCCCTACAGGAAAGGTACAACGGTATCAGTCATCAAGATCGTAGAATGGCATCCTGGGTGGCACCTCGTCCATTTTCGGATTGAATTTCGCAGTGACGATCATACGAAAATTATTCATACACACCTAGGGGCGCGGTCGGTCTTTAGAGCCCACACGATATTCGTATATCCCCGGTTCGATGCGTGTCACCGATGGAATCAATTGACGATCGTTTTGAAAGCAGAAATCGAAGAAAATCGTTGGTACGTGTAGGATGTAAATGACAGAAATCGGAAAATGATTGAATTCTAATGGTTAATTCGTTTCGAACGAACGACGACGTTGGGAGGCGAGAATAACCAAGTATCTCGTGGGTACTCGATTTCCACTCGAGTCCCGAGCAAACTAATAAAGCAACAGCTTGATATCTCACTGGTCCTCCGGGCGAGGATTCGAATGGTCGCGTTATGAAACGAGTACAAGCACGAAGATTCGCGTGACTTAAGGCACTAGCAGTATACTTAAGGCCTAACGCAGCATACTCTTCCTTAACGTTAAAAGGCACTATTCCCTATCGAAATACAACACGTAACAAGTATTCATTTATCGATCATCGGCGTTAATCTTACACGTAGAGGTTCCCTTCTTTCTTTAACGAATATAAACTGGCTCTAGCATATACTGGCATCTTAGTTCCATCGATTTAAACTAACTTCGAAGTAGTTCTCCGTTCCTTCGGCTACCTTCGATCGCGTAGCACGTAAGGTGACAAGAAGAGATAAGAAAATAATAAAACACTGGTTCGAAGAAAACAGGGAAATGTGCTGCACACGTTCTTTACACGGAGACGTCGCGTGTACTTCGGCTTTTTAAATTATTTACAAGCTCGTTCGATTTTCATGAACCTTCTGCTAAAAGATCACGCGAAATTCGATCGTAGCTGTTTACAGAATAAATTTCACGTTGCCACGGTATCTTCCTTTTATTTACTGAATCGTATTTTATAAAAATTACCCTTTTACTGCGTGTTTTCTTACAAATAGCCCCGTCAAGTAACAGCCTGATTTTATTCTACTCGATGCACGAAGTCGATGTCTTTGTTCGATCTCGATATGTCATATACGATTTGTTGCAGTTCTAATTTTAACTATGTAAATCCGCGACGATCGAACAGACGACTCGGTGCATCAGTGATACAAACCGTGATATTACGAACCTTCTTTCTCTTATATACACTTTCAAAAGCACGAGGAACATTGACGCGTTCTACGATTCAGAGAAATTTCTCATTGGCTCTTTCGAGCGTAATTTGTTTTTCCATCGTCCGCGAACTATATCTCGCAGATGCCAAAATAAAATGTGCACGGATCGAGGCTCGAAATGTTTGCCGTTCAATTAACGAGAACATTCGATTCGGCGATAGGTGCAAAAGCGTTTAAAAAATAATTCTTCGATCTACTTTCTTCGTCTTCCTTCAATGTTTGAGCGTAATGGACACCTTATTTGCACCTTCTACTTTGGCACCTTGTGTTTCGTGTGTATCTGCGTGTACGTGTACGAGTGTGGAAAAAAAAGGTTGCTACCTTACTGAACAAGGTACGATCGAAGAATGTTTGCGATCGAGTAAAGAGAAAGAGAAAATTAGAAAAAAAAAGCATCGCAATAACGTCGATGATAATATACACGTTTATATTGCTTTATGCACACACGTAATACTGGCTTACAGAGCATCTGATTCCCTGGTTTTCTTTGACAATGAAAAACGTCAATGATTGTCCTTTCCTAAACGCGAAATTCTTTGTGCATAGTCGGATAAAATCGCTATTTAACGCGTTAGAAAAAACTTGTTCGACGATCACGATTTTTTGTTTAGTTTATTTAACTGAGCATGCTAAGTCCCAAGCTCCTTCATCGGAGTTCGATTATTCTCTTTAATTATTAGTCGTTTAATTACCTTAAAGATACTTTACTTCTCTTCCCCCATTTACTGGCTCTATTTCTTCGCAATAGACGATACAATATGGTGCTCTAGACTAGTTGAGCTGGCCTTATTTAATCATACGAAAAAGAAAAAAAAGGATGAAAACAAACTGGAAATACGAACGAGTAAAAATTGGCTATAAATAAAAAAAAAAAAAAAACAAAAATAAAAATAAATGAAAAACAGTTATGCTGAACCTGCAGCAATCGATGTCATCCGCTATACCATTCTTTTCTTCTTTTTCATTTATCGAAGCTAAGCTTCCGTGATGTCTATCACAAGTAACACCAATTCAACAACAAAATAAATAATTTTCCATGGTAAAACATTTCAACAATTCTTACGCTCTATCTCTCCCGGTTCCACGAACCGAAACTTACAAGTAGAAATATCAACAATGTAAAATCGTACCCCGACTGCTGACAGGTTCGCAACTGATCATCCACCAATAATTACAAATGATGCTTTCATCAGACCTCTAAACCTAATGAACGACTCGTTTGCTTCTTCATTTTTTCTCCTAGTATCCGCCCCCGACTCTGTTCGTTCCGCGGAATCGATTCGAGAGTCTCGAAGGCTCTTCAGGTCCCGAATGTAAAAAAAAAAAAAAAAGAATCATCGTCATCGTCTACGATCACGACTGCGGGTTCCGATGTTCCTCGGAACCAACGGTTCACCTTTCTTCTTTTCCTTCTTATTCTTCTACGTTCTTCCTGCCTCCAGCTAGACGAGCCTCTTTATCAGTGCCTTTTCATGTGAAGGGACAAATGATCGCTCCGCGAAAACGATCGCTGACAAAGATGGCACTTGAACGGCTTCTGGCCCGTGTGCTTGCGGTAGTGTCGCGTCAGCTCGTCGGAACGCGCGAATTTCCACGTGCAACCCTCCCACGTGCACTGGTACGGTTTCTCACCTGAAACAGACGTGGAGGAAATGATTCAGAGATTTTTCGATGATATTTCAATCGGATATTTCAAAAATTAGTAATCGTTTCTTGTGTAATTCGCGTTTAATCGCGCGTAGTGTACGCGTGAAACATAAAACCTTTAGTTAGGTTCGCTTTTAGATTTACGACTCGAACCGGTGAATACGTACGCCTGATCCTTTTCATAATCCTCCGCGTAGAAGGGATACTCATTTTCCTGCGCGAATGAAAGTCCACGTCCTTGGACAATTTATAGGGGTATGGGGTTTTATGCGTTTACAAATTTACGATCGAACGGCGTAATTGAAAAGTGACACCGATCAATTGCCGACCCATTATGCACCTGCTGGCTTTCCAACGTCCTCTTAGGGTCGTTACTTACGAACAATGTTACGTTAATTCAAGGTATCGAAGGAACGAGCAACAAATCAGAATGGAGATATTGTAAATTTCGATTTCTGGCACAACTGATATTGAAAGTTTTTCGAACACTTATAACTCTTCAATTTCGAAGCGATTATAATAATTTGATCACCGGTTCTAGGTACAATTGAATTGATCTTAATGAAACATTGACAGAGTACGATCGGAGTAAAGATAATATCTTGCAAGCTATTCGAAAGCAGTTCGATACAGGTAGAATTTCCAAGCGTTTAACCGCGTTGACTGGCGCGCGTGTGTCCGTGCGTTTATTCTTGGCTCTTATCGAGTCGAGCCCCTCTTTCGTAAGGACGTCGTGACAGCTGTCGCGCGTTCCAACGACTCTGGATCCCTCAGAAAACTGCCCATCACTCTCTTCTATTGTATGCAAGTCACCGACGTATTCCTCGGGCCCGGTGTTCTGCACGATTCGCCGAAGAAAGAGAACGAGCCTTCTGGCGAGATGGAAGCGTAAAGGCGAATGTTGAGTAGAAAGAGAAGGTACGAGTGAACGAGAGTAAAAGGGTTTGAAGGGGGCTAAAAGCGTAGCCCGTCGTCGAGCTGTCTAGATGTAGAAACAGCCTGGTCACAACTCGATGACGCAATCGCCATCAAGTTCAACCGAGTCGAAGAAGAAGACGAAGACGAGCCAGGGAAATCGCGAGCGACCATCGATCCCATTAACCGAGAGCGTGTACACGGGGATAATGGGCGACGACGAACGACAACGTTCGGTTTTATATCGCCTGGAAACCGCTAACACCATACCGGTTTGATCGATGTGTTCGCGCACCTTCAATCAGAGATCATGAATCTTGACAGCGACTAACCAACATCGTCCTGGAAAATCTATCACATTTTTCGTCGCCTTCGAATCGCTATAAATCTGAATTGAAACTTTGCTCGAAGAATTCTAATACTTTTCAATCTCTTAGAATTTGTAATATTAGAATTATCTATAATGAGTCAAAAAATATTGAAAATTTTTATAATTATACCCAATTAATCTAGATTATCATGATCTATCTGTAAGAAAGAAACAAAACCACCTGTAATAGAGAAATAAATAAATAATCAGTACAAGTTCGTTCTGTGTTCTCTGAAAATTATTGCTTCGCGTGGGTTCGATGTTAGATATCTAAATCGATCGTTTGAACATATCGACGTCTATTGGCGGAATATTATTATGTAATTCGCCAGTAATATGAGGAACTAATGAGCGAGAAAAAAAAGCCATGCACTCGACCGTTGCATAATTGCGAGTAATTAGTCCGTTTACGAGCGACACGAACACGTAACGCGAGTGTAGGTGCATGTGCACGCAATATCGGCCGATGTGCATGCAGCCTCGCGAATACGGCACAACAGGGCATTAATTCTCCCGTTATTAATGCATTTTGATTGGATTTTTACATACCGGCGTTACGTTTATTGCACCATAGATTAACGCCGCGTTACACCGTCCGGCTCCATTAATTAACCGCAACAGCGAGCTTAGCCGCTCATTTGTAACGTCACTCTGATGTCGCGGTGCATATTAATCCCACGTTATATTAAGCCAACGGGATACTCGTCGATCCTTCTTTTTTCCCCTCTCTTTGTTTTTCGGATTTCAGCCGATCTAATCTACTTACTATCTCTCTAGAAATGCAGAAACGATAAAGGAAAGCGTTCAAAGATGAGTCGAAGGAAATATCGATGTCTTCTGTGTCATCGGACTCGCGATATTTTACGAGCGGACGTTCCTCGTAAAATATCACTGTCGATTGTGTCGACTGCTCTTTTTTATTCGACTCTCGTCCACTTCTCGTTCTCTTATGAATAAATACAGACTGGTTCATGCGTCGAATCGGCATCGAGCGTTCAAGCTGTATTTAAATTTCTTTTGTACTTTAGAAAACATGAAACGAGTCGTGTGAGCAGTTTATACGGGAACGTATAAAGTGTCTACTTAATTACAGAGGAAACGAGAAATAATTTGTTCTTCGTGGTTAATAATTCTTCTTTCAATAAGTACTGTTAATTTAGTCGACGATCTTTCAACAGGCCTCAACCCTTTCTCACATTCATTACGGGCTAGAACATTCCGCAATTCAATTTCATTCGCAAACACTAATTCTCCAGATATTTTACATAAATGAACACGGTTGTAAAATTCCAATAAAAGTGAAAGAATACTCGTTCCACTCTAAGAGGATATATCGTTCGACTGTTATTTATATTCTAGAAAGTCTTGCAAGTTTATTTCAATCTCGAATAAATTTTCTTAAATATCGTTAACTAAATTTAGAACGCCCCAATTATCTCGCAATTTTTGAATTAAATTTTTTTCATTGATTTTTCTCAATACTTCCCGTACCTTTCGCAATTATCGCGTCAAACGTCTCGGCGAGAAGGTTGCCAGCTCGTATGACGAAGCGTGTCGGTGGCGAGCAGCGAGCTGACAAGCGACGCGAGAAAAAAAACGAAAAAAAGATGGAAACGAAGGGAAGAAAAGAGGAAAGAACGAAACTCGCGGCTGCTACAAGCAGCCAGGAGCTGTCCACTCTGCGTGGCGTCTGCCTAATGCGCCCTCGAGCTACTCCCGCGGTGTACGGCTTCTTGTAAATAACAACACTCGTTAGCGGCAAGAAATACTGCGTCCGTGTAATAACCGGCGAACGCGCGATTCAATTTAATCGTGATCATTACAGCCCATTAATTATTTACGCCAGTATTGTGGTTTAATAAAATGTAACACCGGGACGTAACTCGAAGTTTCAATTAACACTTGAACGTCGTACTGACCAGCACTACAAATTTAATGTAATTAAAATAACATGAAAGAAAATTGTACGTGAATTGAAAAATGAAATGCTATTACTGAAAGATATTTAATTGCTCGATTTATCAATGGGTCACCAGTAACCTTGGCAAAGATTTTTGAATTCTTACGTCGACCATGCTACTTAAGAATTGAACGAATACGTCCGAGTCTGACAGTGACATTAGTAAACAGTTCTAGTTCCCTTTCGAGAAATCTATCCGTTTCCAAGAACAACGTGGAACGAACCTTTAACCTCTGTGTAAGTTCAATTAATATTCCATCGAGAGAACAGCTTCGTAAGGAAACTAATGAATTTTAACGCGTTGCCTGCTGAGAAAGCATTGCTGAGTTCTTCGTACAGACAACTCCCTGGAAAACGCATTCATTATAAACTTTCTAATTTAGTGTTCACCGTTATTAGTTTTGTTCCGATAGAGGCCACCTGCTTGGATAATGTCTCTCTCTTTTCGTAATGACACTAAGGATCATCGATGAAAGTGCTGAAAAGCAATCAATTTCGATAAATCATGAAGCTGTTTATTTCATGAAGTTTATTAAATAAAGCATAAATCGAAAGTTTTCCAATTGAAAATTTCACGTCCTCGAGGCAAGAGCATCACCTGTTTCTCCCTTAATAATAGTCAGACGTAATTCGTTTCGCCAATTTTACCTTTTGTCCACCCACAATGCTAACCAGCACGAATTTCTCTTTCCTTTAAAAAGAAAGAAGAGGAAGAAGAGTAAAATAAGAACCGAGAGTAGAACCGATCGCCACGATAATCAGGTTGATGTCGATAATCGTGGCAAATTACCCGGTCCGAATGTCGGTCGGCGCAAGCGGAACGAAATAAAAAAAGGAAAAAAGGAATTTAATTTAAAACCGCTGGTCCTCGATAACGAGAATACGGATCATGCTCACCCAGGAAATTGTGATCCAAGAACGAAGATAATCGTAGCCCCCTGTTGGTCGGTGATGCATAAGTGCATTGTTAATGGCAGGTCTGACGGCGGATGCTTGACTTGCACGGAGGGGCGAGGATTCGGTGTTATCCTTCGATACAAGGAACCGATCGACGCTGCTTGCCTAGTTTATACGAAGGTTAATTCGCCTTAATTAATACACGAGATCTCGCCGAACCTCCTACTGTCCATCAAGGCTCACGCTAACCTGTCAACCCTATTCCGTGCTGCTTAACGAAAGTGATTCTCTGGAATGGTTAGATTTTCAAGAACAAAGGGTAAAATTAAAGAAACAAATTTCTTTTTTGTAATCCAGAGAAAAATTAATGTAAACGCTGCTGTTGGTTAAGCAAAACTGCTTAACAGCACGGTTTGACCAATAACTCTAGTTAGCACACTTTGGAGTAATAATCGACGGATTAGATGGTTATTAGCGCGGTGTGCAGTATTATCCACGGCATGGATGCAGCAGAGCGCTATTATAAAGAGCTGCGGCTACCATTTACCGTATCCTTGTAATATTTCGCCTCTCTGGCCGTACAATGTAGCTTGGCCGTGTTCGTCGGCGTGTGTTCCGAAGATTCATGGTATCGAAAGCGGTAGCGCGGACCGCTATTACTCCGTTATACAGTTTGCGAGCGGCACGATATAAATTCGATGCAAATTCCTACCGTTCGAGCCGTGAGAATCATCAATCATGGTTAGCTGGATGGATTCGCTGTTTTCGTTGCGAAGGTTGTAACGTTTTGAACGATGGTTCTCTATCTGATGGCGCTCCAAGAAAAAAAAAAACACAACTAAACGACACGTTATAGGCAAAAGACACTAAACGAACTTGACATTTGCTACCAACATTGAAAATGCTAATAATAAAAGCATTGATAAATTCAATATTATTATCTCTGTAAATAATAAATGAATTTAAAAAAAGAGTCAGCTGTTCGATTAGGTTTCTTCCATTAAATCAAACAATCCTCGCATGAAACATTTAATTTGATTAGATTATTTTGAAACAAAGAATCTTTTTCGATATAAAGCTAACTCTGTGTGTATTATTCCTCGTTACAGTTTGTGCAAGAGATACGGAGGTAATAACAAAGGCAAAGTACAATTCTGTACACGCATTTAAATTACTGCGTTAGCAGAGTTACTTAACATTCTGAAGTTCAAGTTGAACGGCACATTGGTGTATCGTGAATTAGGCTATCGCAAGTTCGAGCTGGTGTAATCAAGCGGAAACAGAATTGTTGAGGAAAAGAAAGCCGGTGTCCGCGATAACACCGATTCTCTACGTCGTCGACCTTTCGGAACAATAGGTTACTCGTACGAGACAAATTCTTTTGATTTCGGGAGCATAACGTTCGACTTTGGCGTGGGCACGATTCGCGATTTATGCCGTGAAATTACAGTAATCAATGAATTGGCATTTCCCACATCCAGGGTGCCGGTGTGTACGTTTGCCGTGCTAAGATATCTCGATGGCTGCATAATGCCGCGGTGTTAGAATGATGGATAGACGTAGCTACGACTGTGCAGGCACAGTCGTTGAAACAATTATTAGAGCGAGTGCCAAGATACGACATAGAACGACCAGCTTGGTATATCAGGTTCTGGCCTTTTCCTATTGGGTAGATCACGCTACCAGGATTTCGTAAAACCCTGGCCCCGATAATGGCACCCTAATGCGCGAAACGTGTTTCGATTCGCGTCGTCTGGCCGCTTATTTTTTCCTCACGGAATCCTGTGACGTTCCGGGAAAGAGAATTATACGGCGTCTCGACGGATTCGATGAAAAATTAATGAAGCCCGCTGGAAGAAACTCGGTCGACGCGTTAACGAAGTCGATCTCTGACCTTCGATTAAGAAAGGGAAAAGCGTTAGAAACGAGAATTTTCGTAACGTTTGTTTACCAGTAAAAGAAAGTGTGTAGCAATACGTGAACATCGCTGTATACACGATTCTAAATTCGAATCGATCGGACATATGGAAATTTATCGTTCGTGGAATAATGTGACAGAGATTAAGGAAGGTTATCGATACGGAGGCGGCAAAAACATGGATTGAAGTTGTATATAAGGTCAGTCGATCAGTCGGATCGTCAGTGTGAAGAGGTTCAAACAGCAGAAGAGATGTTCATTAAATTCTTTACTTTTCTTTTGCTGCTCGCCATCGTTAGCTCGATGAGCATCGACGTGGGCACCGAAAGATCTAACGAAGCTGATCTGTCTCATGGTAAGTATTCTAAATCTGACATTTTGTGCTTCTAATCCGACGAGACTCTTCATAGTCAATAATTTCTTGGTAATTGTTTGTTATAAAGCAAGGCAATGTATACCGGGTGAACGTTACTTTGATGGATGCAATTGGTGCTCCTGTCATCAAGGAGGATTTATCGCCTGCACTCTGATGGCGTGTGAAACATACAATGCCAAAACTGACAGGTTTGAAGCAACCAAAGAGTTACCATCCCCAGACAATTTCGGGAAAAAGTATGAATCAGATTAATTACGACTACTTATCGAAATAACGTGTGTTTGAATGTAAAAGAAGAAATTGATTATAACTTTGTGTATTATTTCATTGATGTATGTAAATAAGTTAGAAAAATAAAAAATTTAATGATATTTTTCTAATAATGTCTAAAGAGTTGTATGTCTAAATTTCCAGATAATTCCATTGGGGTAATTAGCTAAGGATAAAGATGGGTATTTAGAATTATTCTCATTTCTTAACTATTTGACCTAATTAAATTTGTATTACTGGTGACCAACGTGGCGATGAAAGTGTTTTTTCAAAGTACCATTTTTTCCCTAACACTAGATAAGGGCGGGTGTGGATATTTAGAACCATTCCCATTTCTCAAGTATTTGATCCAATTAAATTTGTATTACTGGTGACCAACGTGACAAACCATTTTTTTCCCCATTAGAATCTCCTGGCGTCGGGACCAGGTTGAGCACCGCGGTTACACCGTCTTGGTTGAACCATGGACCAGACAAAAGATCCTGGTTCTCACGACCACGCCCTCTCCCCGCCGCCTCTGCACTCTGTAGACGGCGGCAATGCCTTCACGAAGGTACCTATCCACCGGAAATTCTTCAACCAGCGGCTCCTTCAACGCTGTGTACACACATGTGTATTCCCTCACCATCTATACGTGTGTATAGAACGAGGAACGAACGGTGTGTGACCTCTTCCAACTTCTCTCGCGAGACGATAATAAATGGCCGGCTACGAATGTACCAACGAAACGCGGGGGACGTGTCTAAAAAATGCATTCTCGATAGATAGTATTCAACGTACAGCGTCACTTTGGTGTGCTATCGAATTTCTAAGCGGCTTCAGGCCATACGATTCACCATGCGAATGTCGAAGACCCTTGACCCTCTTCTTCTTCTACTCCTCCTGTTGCTTCTTCTTCTTCTTCTTCTCCTTCTTCGTGGGTTCCAATTGGTCGGTAGAAAAAGCAGCCTTATGGGACGGATATGCTTGGCATCCGGGGAATGTCGCATGAAAACAGACTCACACCGAATTCTCCGTGAACCGGGAACGGGTATATTGATAAAAAAATTCCTCGAATGGCGCGAATTCGTAGCGGCTACCTTCCCGTGATTCCTTGTTTAACGATATTCCATTCGGGAATCGGGTATCTCGACTCGGCAATCAAAGGCGAGCGATGAGTAATGGCTCCCGGTCAACTGGTTGACCCATCCACGGCGACAAGTCGTTTAACTACCGGCGATATTTTACCGCTAAACATTATCGTTATCAGGCCGAATCTCGCCGCGTTATTCGCTAATAATGCTGTCTCCTTCGAGTTAACGTGGGAAGTATGCTTTTAATGACTTTGAATCGCATTAAAGCGGGGCCTGAACCGTGGCGAGCAAAAAGGAGAATTTCCTTTTACCATTTGCGTCGGCTCGCGGAGAATATCAGTCGTACTTGCACGACGTTAACCTAAAAGAAACATAGCCGTACGGAATAACAACGGACTATGGATATTGTCTCGTCAATTAATCCCCTCCGCGCGCTCTCTTCCACGAAGTGTAACCAAGTCAAGTTTCTCGTAATTGTGAACTCACCCTGTGCCTCACCTTGGAACGGGAACGTCACCTATGAACCCCGCGTGATCTTTCACCGAGGCGAGAGAAAAAAGGACGATGATCGTGCGTTACACGATGACGAAACCCGCGTTCTACACCGGTGATCAACGACGCCGCACGTGAATCATCGTCCGGACAATGAAACGTTTAGTACGCAATAAATGTATTGAACGACGAGCGTTGAAGAATTTATGGGAGTACTTTTCAAAATCAAACTACTTAACAGAGTGAAACTGGAGCACAGAAATTGTTGCTTTCGCCAGATCTGCTGTCTTCTTTTAATTCGCCCGAATTTTCGTAAATGACGAATGTTTCATTGGTGTATCGATGGAAGGAAGTAGTAAAGATAATGATTCGTGTTATCAGAGTGAACTTACCAGTGTGGGTTCTCTTGTGCGCCTTCAGGTGGGAGCTCTTCGTGTACACCTTGTCGCAGCCTGCCACGTCGCATCTGTGAACTTTGCGCCGTTTCAATGCGTCGCCGCATTCGCTATCGACCGGTAAACTACCGCCGTTTCCTCCGACACCGGCGTTACCTCTACCACCGATCCCGATTCCGGTCGGACGTTTGTGAAACACTCTGAAATTCCAAAAGAAACATCGTATGAAACACCTTGCCGCTGGCATATCTATTCATTAATTCTAACGATCCAATAACTTCTTCGATCATATTCCATACGTAGCTCGCATCCACGGTGGTACGAACAAAAATCCGACGAACGATTGACCGGAGTGATTTCAATTCAGATATGGATAAGACGTCTTCATCGTTATTTCATCGTTGAAACTCGCGTCTATCGACAAACAATCCTTTTATTTCTCGTTCTTCCATTCGTATCCGGGGTGAATCGACAAATCGCACCAGCCTTTACCATGGATTTATACAGAAAGTTTTTGGCATGAATTATTCATCGATCGATGTATTCCGATGCGTTATGACCGGTTTTGATGAAGAACGAGTGAAATTGCTTGCTGCATAAAACAGGCAGCGAAAGAACGTAGCCGGAGACACGTACTCGAGAAAAAGAATTCATCTATGAATAATACCACGATCGTTGCGGATGGAATGAAAGAAAGAATGAAAGAAAGATGAAAAAAGTGGCGGTCGTTACGTTAATCTGTACAGTTACGTAGGATCTCCTGGTTGTTTACTCGGCGTTTTAAAATATCTCATCCTAGAAACGAGCGTGGAGAGGATGGCTACGGATTTCGCTTGAATCGAGGAAATAAAAAGTACGATCGGACCGTGGTATCCCCGAATGGATCATTGTTTGAAAGACGAAGTGGTAAGCGCGCTGTTCGCTGGAAAGTCGAAGAAGGAACTGGAAAGTACATTTGTCGTGAAGTATTGCTGCAAGCTCCAGGCAGTTCCTCCGCAGGGGGGCCCTGACATGCGGGTACCAATGTACATCGGTGCGTGTACACGTGCGTGGCCAGTTTGCGTGTAGAATCGGCGAACGTATACGTGCACCGTGACGGAAACAGACAACGAACCGGCGGAGATTTATGAGAAACGTGAAGTATAACTATCGGTTAACGGCATTGGGACACGAGAGGACAGGCCTCGATCCGTGGCACTGGTGACGATTTCACGGTGCACGTGATCTACGAACACGAACGGTCTTCGGATGCCATTATTGGCATCGATCGGCCAAAAATGGTAAAGGTAAACGATAGGAATAGAATCGAGCTCGATAGGTATTCGAGAATCCCGAGTCAAGTAGCTTCAATTTCCATCGATAGAAATACGTTTCGAGAATTAGCACGTTTCAAATTGTAGTTCGTTGTAATGGATTTACATGTAATGGCGAGCATATAACTGGTCGTTTAGAAGGTCTAATAAAGTCATTGACACCGAGGCAATAGTCGAGAGGAGGATTGTTAGATAGGAGGGAGCGTTATGTCATCGTCTGTCATCGTGGCAGGAAAAAGAGGAGACCGAGGTGGAAATTATTCAACGCGATCTCGGCTCGCATCTATCTGGCTGCACGGTCGAAAGAAATCGTGACGACGGCGTACGAAATGAGGTTTGTTAGCGTGCACCGGTTGTCACGAGATTACTATGTTTTCCAACGTCTGGCCGGCTTTCGGACGAGATCTACCCGAGTTCTCGACAATGCTAAAGACAGTCGCGAGAGCGGACGAGAGCAAATTAAACGAGATTTACAGCGGGTGCACGATCTCGTCCTGTTAACCCTGTACGTGCATATACATTCGATGAAATATGACGGCGAAGACCGACTGCCCGCGATATCCTGCTGTTTTCGACCGATTGTAAACCGATAATAATGTCATATTCTCTGCATCATATGCAAATCCTTTCTTAATTCCGTTCGATGGTCCGTCCATCTTCAGATTGGACCATTTAAATTTTGAAGAAAATGGCTCTATAGACTCTCTATTGAAATAAAATAACCAGAATCGCCTTCAGATCGTAAAGAAACCGATTGTTAACGAGTTTCTTGAACGGTGTTATCGTATTCTACGCTCCGGCTAAAACACTTCACGTGTGTGTTTGCTTTGGGGAGATCAAAAAAATGTCGAGCACGAAGATCTGTGAACCTCGGCCGTATATCTATCGAAAGCGTCTCTAAAATCGCTCCAGTCTCCGGGTAGAGCGATAAGATCGGTAGCAGAGTACTTACAGGGACGTTTCCTTTATCCTCTGCAACGCGAGGAGGGCAGCCGAGGAGGAAACGAAGACGGGATCGAGCGGTTCCATCATGCGGGCCGACGTGTCCCTCTCTCTGTCCCTTTCCCTGTCCCACTGTCTGTCCCTATCTCGATCTCGTTCCTTTTCTCGATCCCATGGCTCCCTCTCCCTGATTCCTGACTCCTCGTTCTCCGTGCTCCTCTCTCGCACCCTTTCCCGTTCTCGTTCCCGTTCCCGGTTTCTCTCCCACGCTGTTTCACCGAGCGGTGGCAAAGGCGGTGATACTGAAAGAAAGAGAAAAAAATATCGGAGGGATATTAATTAGTCGGTTAACAGGTAGAATATTACCGAGCATCGTCCGCGCTTATTATACCGTGCCCACTTTCGTAATTTCATCGAGCCAGGTGGATCGTTAATCCATTGGCTCGAACGTGCAGATACGCACCGGATAGATCCAGCTTCGAGAGACCGGGTGGAAAATACTCTTGTTAGCGTTACCTGTTAATTACTAGAATTCGTGGAATCGTAGATTATCCGACTAGTGACATATATGGTCTCCCGTAAAACGCCACCGACTCCGCTGCAGGAAGATAAAAGCCCGCGACCGATCGTTCGAAACGGTCAGATGCGTCGAATGATCGAAAGGTATAACGAGCCAGACGCGTTATTAACGCTCGCTTTTTACCCACCGTATTATTCGAACGCGCGATTTACGCCGACGTGCCTTGACACCTGTGCAACATTGTCGTAAATCTCTCGTTATAAACGCGAGTAATCTACCAGCCGCGAAAGACGTATCTCGAGTTTCCAGAAAATCCCGCTGAAAGTTCAATCGTTTCACAGGCCGGACTCTGGGTCGTAACAAAAGTTTCGCTACTTATAAGTACTTCCTAAAGTGGGTAGACTTCGTTAATCCTGAACTCTGCGCGTACCGTTTTACAGATGGTCACGGTCCAGGAATTAGAATAAAAATAAAAATGATAATCGATTACACCCGCGTTTCGAATCGTGGTACAAAGTTGCAAAGGTTATAGACGAAAAGAAGAAACGTAAATAATCGTGCAGGAAGGAAAGTTATCTTCGGGTAGTTCGAAACAAGTCGTCGCTAAGAAGTCGTCTCGATATCGCGCAGAACACTACAATTTACATCGCAGGGGAGAGATTTTTCGACGACCCCTTGACTCCGCGGCGACCCGACTGCAGTGCTGCACGTCGTTGCCCTCCCGCGACCCATGGCCGACAAGCATGTTAAATGTCCGTGACATTACTGTTACTAATTAATACGCCAGGCTGGTCAATAGATTCGCGATCGATCGGCGTTGTAGGCGGGTTTAGAACAGGCGGGAAACATTGAGGCTGGTGGGGTAACTTTTGACCGCGATCGACAGTGTACCGTGCATCTTTCATTTGATTATCGAAGCCACCGCCTTGATTGCCTGGTAATCGATGTAAAATCGTAATTTCCAAGGCTTACTTCGTTACGTGGTAATGGCTCCTTTGCGAGTAAGCAATTATAATTAGCATATCGTATGCTGCTTTGTTGTCAAAAGTAGAAGGTCGACTTTTTCGTCGATGGAACAATTTGAAATAAGAACACAGCTTCCCCCGCGAATTCATTTTACCCTCTAATAAAAATCATGTACCGTTCCTCTTTCTTTCCCTTCTCGCGGCGAAGGAAGAACGCGCATGCAGCGCGAAATAACGGGATTAAGAGGTAATCGATTTCGTAGGAGGACACGGTGTTCTTGGCGGAACAAACGCCACGGGAATATTGCGTAACGCGGCGCACGCACGCGAGTCGCTGGGTCGTTGGTCGTGAATCAACGAGCCGGAGATTTATGCAAACGGCTGTTGTGGTTGGCTGGGCGCACGCCACAACGGATCGCGTCCGAGCAAAGATGCATGACTGGAAAACGAACGAACGAAACCGTGTTACCGTGGCCGTGTTTCGTGGATTTGATGGATCGCGGCGGGGATTGATTTTTAATTGAATTCCGGCCTCGTATTTCTGCCGCCGTAAATACCGGATCGACAAGGCACACACGCCGAGCGAATATCATCCTCGGTTCGACAATTTTTGCCGCAGTGCTCCTTGAATCTTTTCAGAGAAATCAACCCCTTTAGGTTAATCATTGTAATCGAGCGATGCCCGAGGCAATCGCACGGTGTTCCTTCCAAAAGTTGGCAGACCGTGTTCGGTTGCGAGTTAATAACGATAATTATAACAGTGATCCAGGAACTGTTTTTCCTCTTTTGAGAATTCAATGAAAATTAAAGTCCTCTTTGTAGATACTTATCGCAAAGGACCGTGTTTCCTGTTATCGAGATAGAAATCTTGTGGAGACCGTGCCGGCTGATCGTCCACTGGTATCGAGGAATCATTATGAATACAGTGAAGATACATTCTAACTACTCGCGGTATTATTAACCGTAATTTCCATGTGTTCGCTGTACTGGGCGGCTTCGCTTAATTAGCCTCAGCTTCGGACACTTTTTCCCCTCTCGTTCTGTACGTCTCGTTAGGGCCATTAACTCTTCCCGTGGCTCTCGACGAGGCCTATGATCTTCCCTATCTAATGGACCACGAAGTCGTCAGAACTTGGAACGCTCTGACAGCTCTCGTCCAACAACTCTTTGACCCCGACAAAGATCCAGGCTCTTCCTTGTTCCCTGTCCTTCGAGTAATCGTAGGATACGAATTATGTGCACGAGATGGTGTTCGCGGAATGCAATTTTGATTTAAAAATAATTCAATCGAAATGCTGCAATATTATTTCATTTGCTGATTAGTTTTTTAAGGACTTTGCTCTTCTTCGATCGTCGCTTCGCTCACGCAAAGTTAATCCCGAGTATTATAGGTAATAACGCGGTCTTACGGTGTTTCGTCTTCCTGTTCGTTTCCTCTTCCTCCTTGTTTTCCCTTTACTTCCTCCTCGACGTTCGCGGACTCCTTTCTCTCACGCGTACACGTACAGACACTTTCATGACCCTGCGTGGCACAGTCAGGGGGTAATTGATAATGTTAAACGCCAGGGTTAATCCGATTTATGGGCAGAGTTTGTACCGTGGATTTTTCGAATCTGCCAAATTGAGGGATAATAGGCGGACATTAATGCCTTGCTGCCAGCAATCGAACAGCAACGCGGCTAAGGGAGATACGCAAGTGGAAATCGACGGTTACGTTGCTTCGAGCATCCGGTGGCGAATGAAACATGTTCGATTAATCCGCTGCAACTCGTATATTTGAATCTCCAATCCCAGGGGGGGAAATTAATATACCTGCGTGACTCACAGACTTCGCGTAATGAATTTCAACCAGTTCCATTGGACAAACTTCACAGACTCGTTTCGAATAAATTTTTGTTCAATAATACATACAGCACACTTCGATATATCATTAACGAATAAAAATTCACAGTGTAACAATCAACTGCGAAACTTATCAATCTTCCTGATCTTTTGATTTATCAATTCGATCCTAGACACTATCAGCAGGAAACATTCCATAATTATTTACTCGAAGTCAAAGCTACGAGTACATTGGCACAATAGCTGGCTGATTGACAATCATTACACGCGAACCGTCAATTAATCAATATTAATTATGAAAAATCACGGTCGCATTGAAATGATAAGGCGAGCGTGGTCGGCTTGACACGGTCCGGATAATGAATCGTGTTCGTTCGCGGTAACCTGTCGTGCAGCATCATCGATTATCATAGGTACATTGTACGATCGTAAGCTCCGTGGTCTATGCGAGAAGAAATATGCGACGAACGATGCCTTGAATATGCGTGCACGAGCTAGCCAGGTGGGTGGACGTGCCACCCGCATCGCGGAACTCGTTAGAGCCGGGAGTTTTCAATTAAATTTCCGGCCTCCACGGCGAAATGAAGATTAGCCGATGACCCGTCTTGTACCAATTAATCGTAGATTATGATTTTTCATCGGATGCCAGCGGTGGTTCAAATTTATCGGCGTACCTTCGCGGCCAGCCACCCGTCACGATAATACCCTTGAATTATTTAACCCGCGCCGCTTAAGGTGCGTCGAAGTTCGTTTCAAATTAAATTTTATCCGTCCCCGTGTCGGATAGATTCTCGCTGGTAATAGCGCAATTAACTTCGATCCTAGCTAATCGAACGGACTAAGCAGTCGGCGTGTTATTCGAAGTCTAGCAAACATTTGCAGTTAAATTAACAGCGATTCGAGGAATTCATTCGGACAGCGAGTACTTGTACACTCGATGTAAAGCAGACGTTTTTTTAGGAAAAGAATGAAAGAAGGGTTAGGTTATTTCATATTCAATCGAATCTGTGGAAAATTCGATATCTTGTAACTCTGTGCAACAACGGAACCGAGTAAGAACACGAAGGAATGCACAATAAAATCGCGCAAGTACGACGAAGCAACGATTATCTCCTCGCATTAACGTGTCTTTATCATAATTAACCGCCGCCTGGCGCACGCTAATTGACAAAGGCGTGATTATACCACCTCGGTGAAAGTAACGCGGAAACGAAGCTGTGCACGTGCATTCGTATGCACTCGCTGGTCGAGTTTGCAGCGGGGAACACGTGGCGCTCAGTTTCGAAGCATCGCGATCAACGATGAATCTTCACCGACAATATTGATGCTATTAAAAATTTTAATATACCCTACAGCAATCAACCTGTCTATTGAAGGAAATTAATATTCCTTTTTATACGAAATTATCAGCATGACCTAAGGGGAAAGTTTAACCTGTCCGGGTGTTAAATTGTACGATAAAATTTTGCAACAGCTCGCGGAATTGATACGTAACGAGGAGGTCTTTATTTTATGAAATGCTTCCACGATACGAGAAGCCTCGATCGGTAATCAATGGTGTAAGATGGCCAATCTCCGGCCAGGAACGAGGGCGTCGAATTCGGGGGCATCTTAAAAGGCGATATTACCTCTCGTCAGCTCGTAAAAGTCCTGTTAAATGGCTACATCCCGAAGGTGAGAGCGCGAGAGTCGAGCGTTTTGCGAGACGATCGCTAGTGGCAAGCCTCGAATTGATCCACCTACGCTTCGATCTCTTCGTAACGATCGGCAGGAAACAACAGTGTGGAAAAGGTGAAAAGAACATGGCCGATGAAGGATGCGAGAAAGCGAGGAAGACGATACGGGACAAAGAAACGAAACACCAGGTCCTTTGTAATTACAGAGGGCTGAAGAAAAAAAGATTTTAGGTAACCGCGTCGATACCTTCCGGGCTGAAAATGAATGATGCGTTTACGATCGAACGGTTCGAAAGCTG